GCCGGGTCCAGAGAGAGACAGCAAGAAAGAGTCCCTGAGACTCATCATCGTGGTGGTAGTCTGCTTCCTGGCGCTCTGGACTCCTCGCTTTTACTACATTATGGTGATTCAACTGACTGGCTCCAGATACATGTTTAGAAACTACGCCAGCGATCCTTTTAGCATGATGATAAGATTCACTGCAACTAGTACCCCCGGACTGTACATCTGGGGGAGCCCCGCTCTCAGGGAGGCTGTGCTGAAGACGGTGTGGGGGAGAATCTGTCCTCCACTGAGAAAAAGGTAAGAACTGTATCAAGAGAAAATAACTATCTTGTAAATTGCATAAATTCTAGTTCTTGTGATTCCACTGTTGTTTTCAGATAATCTCTTAATCGCATATTTTGTCCCTTAATTTGCTTATAGAAACCCAATTAAAACATTTTTTCTTGGAAGTTTTTTGCTCTCCTAAAGGAGCATGTCGTCTGAGTGTTCTGATTGCGATATGATTAATGAATGTTTTTGTATAAATATAGATCTTTAGCTACCTCCACAAAGAATTTCAAACATATCACAAAAATGAAAATTCTATTTACATATTGCATGTTGTATAAGTTTATCAAGGTATCAATGTAGTGATAGAACAATTATTTCTATTTTACAAAAGAAATGTATGTTATCTTAATTTGATTTAAATTTCTTTACATAGAATAGGCTAATACTTGATTTTTTTGTATTCCCTTTGCAAATGCTTTTGAAATTGAACCAACTCTCCCTCAGCCAAGTGAGAAACACTCTTGATTTAGCATTCTATGTTGCTTATCTTAGAGGAGCGAGTCAGGATACATCAGGCGATGCATTAAATTAGAAGACAAGAGTTCAATTAAAGGACTCCAGAGGAATCAGTATATTCAAGAGATGACTAATGTTCACTTCACAACAAATCCATTGGGTTTTCTTCAGAGCCAAGATCAACAAACTAGAAAACATTGCTATAAAATGGGTTATATGAAACCCATAAAACATATTTTTCTTGTGTTTTCCAGGATCAGCCAAGATTCCGAAAGAAACCTAAAATATTTAGGAAAAATGCATAGAGCAGAAAACGGGAAGTGAGATGTTATCGGTCTGATAACTGTACACAATCCTAGAGAGCAGGTATTTTAATTTTCTTAAATTTTTCACAATACATCTTATAATAATGTTTTTTCTTAGAAAATCTACTACACATTAAAATAAAAATAGTAAAATGAGGTTTACACCAGTGAATCGATGGTTTTAAATAATACTGTGATCTACGGACTCTGTTCAGTAAGTGATCTCAGCTACAGAAGCTACAGAAGACAAAGGAGACCAGACAGGCAGCTTGTGATGCCTAAATACAGCAACAGCAATTCACCGTCACAATAAAGACCACACACCTCTAAACAGCTGTGCCCTGACTGTCAATTTCTATGTGTGCATGAATTTAGATATCATTAAATATCAGTAATCTGAGGAGTCTATATGAGGATTTATAGAAAGGCATCATCTGTAGTCTTGTGAAATTAAATAATAGTTGTTGTTGATTTTGTTCTTCTTTCTGTCTTTGAGTATTAGTTTTCTCATCAGTGTCATCATTATTATTATTGCACTCCATCAATCTGTCAACCACCACCTTATATGTATAGACCAAACACTGCAAGGCATCCAATAAGGCAAATGCTAATGAGAATACACAAGAAACGATGATTATCATTTTAAAGGTAAATTAGTGCAAGTTATGTCATTGAAAGGCAATCCTCTCCAATTCTTCATTCAGACTTTGTAAGTATTTTAAAGTATATTTGAAAGTGCATGGCTGATATTAACCTGAGTTATGCTATGTGCTACAGTGCAAGGTACATAATTTTACAAAATGTATTATTTAATTTGTTAAAAATAACTGCTGCCTCAGAGTTTGGAATGAAATAAAGTCATCCACAGCCTTATTGCGGACATGAGCATACAGAGAATTATGACCTTATCTCCCAAAATTGGTAAGGACTCTACTAAAGAGAATAAACATTAAAATTAAACAGCATATTAAAAAAATTGTAAAATATCAACTTAAGTTAGCTATGTAAGTAAACTTAAATATTGATTGTCTGTCTCTATTTGGCTGGAAAATTACAGATTATATCAATTTGAACATCTGCCTAAAATCCAAAATTATATCCAAACTCTTAGCACTCTTTCCGAGAAGCTGCTATCAAGAGTGGAAAATCGGGGCCTCTGTCTCCCTGCAGTTCACAGCCTGGTCTCAGGAAAGGACACAATAGCTGCTCATAATGACCACAGGACATGGACCTGAGGGACACAGGGTGACCCCTGTAATACAGAGGCGCAGGCCTGCTTAAGGGTTTAAAGGGCAGACAAATATTTCAAATCAGCTGTAAAATGAATTGTTTGCCAGTGAAGTGTCACCAAGAGAGGGAATCACATGGACAGCAGACACAGATACAGAGAAAGCCTAATCCTATTAGACTTACGATCCCCAAGACTGCAGAGCTGAACTCCTGCACCGGGCATCTAATGTGGCATCAGAGAGCAAACCACATGGTTTCCCTTTTTAGCAACCACTGTCTGGATTGACACAGTGAGACTGTTTTGGATTAACACATAAACCAGGTCAGCTGTTACCTTCAGCAATGCACAAAAGGCACAGGAACTACCAATCAGGCGTCTCATCAACAACATGAGAGTTCATTTCTGTCAGCTTTCTGTTATGTAACTTTTTAAAAAGCGGTCACAGGTAAATTATATTTAATATAACAATTCTTTAAAATTATAATAATGCTCAGATAGTAATGTGTGCTTTATTTACAGTAATTTATTTGTCTTGTGGAGGTTCTTAACCATCACCCCCTATCAGTTAACATTAAACTCAGCCCCCTTGGTGTATGGACGAATAATAATAGATATTGGACTTAATTTAACTTCAGATGCTTTTTGTGACATTATATCAATAAAATAGTTGTTTTTACTTTAGAAATGGAGAAAGGTAAGATGTTCCAAATTCACATTCGAACTTGATTGTCACACAGTGACACTAATTCGAATTTATTTAAGAGAAATTCTCGCAGAAGAAAGATAACAACGCAAGTCACTTTGAACGATTAGAGTGGGAGTGTCAGGTTTCTTGTCATAAATAGCTGAAAAAACGTTGCTTTACAGACAGAAAATTTGGCACATATACTTCTAATTAGCTGTATGTAAAAAGCTCTCTTTGGATCCCTTGATCTAGTGACACGTGAAGTATCAATCAGCCACCTCAGTCTCTTGTGAGTTCAGTTTGTGTCGGCTTTCTGTTAAGTAATTGTTATTAAAAACGCGTCACAGCCAAATGATATTCCGTAAGTACGCTTGACAAATTTTGTACTGATCAGGATATAAAGTGTACTTCACATAATACACCTGTCTTGCTCAGCCACAGACTTCGGACACTGTAGAAAACTCCAAGATACATGAAACGTTATTTATGGGTTACAGAGCCATCTTGTGTTCAAAAACGGTACTTCCTAAGTGTTGACTGCTCTGTTGAAATGATTTTCTATTGAGAAATACAACTAACACAAAATACTCCTTTTGTCTAAAAAACGGAAAGACATTTAAGACAAATAATACATTTATTTAAATATGAGGAACGATATAATAGAATTCCGCAGTTTCTTCAGAAGAGAGTAATTTGCAGCTCAACCTCAGTCATCAACTGCGTTTATAAATACAACATTATACTGTAAGTTTTCTCTCTGTACGGAAGGGAAATTATTTCAGCAATGTTTATTCATCTCCCATTTCACAGTTTTCAGTAAATTATGTCAGTTATATTCAGTTAAATATAAAATTATCAGCCGCCAAAATGCACAGAACTTTTAGATTTCATGTTCGCCAGTTAATTATTCCCAGGAGATGTGAACCCTCGAAGGTGCAATTACTATCATGAAAAAGATCATATCCTCCGTTCTGTTCACCTATTAAAACTCAAAGGCAGCATCGCCAGATGCTCATTTTACGACGCGATGGTGTCGCTGAACCTCACGGTGCCGTTAGCGGTGGACTTCACTGAAACTGCAGATTATTTCATTTTTATAGCAAATCTGCTAATTGCGACAAGTTCTGTTCTCGTGGCTGGCTCGGTTGTCTTGGGTATTATTTGGAATAAAACCCTCCGAGCACAAAACAGGTTTATTTTCATGCTGAACACCAGCATAAGCGACACACTGTCTGGGGTAGGTGGTTACTACATCGGACTGTTTGATGTGCAGGAGGGCTATCCGTCCAGGAATGGAACTTATTACATCGTGCCTTCGCTAATGGGTGTTAATATTCTTACGATCTTGTTTTCACAGGTGGACCGATTCCTTGCAGTAGCTCATCCTTATGCTTACAACCGTTTTGTAACTAGAACTGTAGTTATAGAAGTTTGTTTTTTCGCTTGGTTTTACACGTACTTCATGTTGACGATCCAGAACCTCCTTACTGTCGATGTGGCTGCGAAAATACGCGCTTACAGCACTTTGACATTCCAGGCAATTATAGTCCTGAAAGTGCTGTTGAACGTGAAACTGTACCTCATCGCTAAATACCAGATTGCTCGTGAGCCGCCGGGTCCAGAGAGAGACAGCAAGAAAGAGTCCCTGAGACTCATCATCGTGGTGGTAGTCTGCTTCCTGGCGCTCTGGACACCTCGCTTTTACTATATTATTGTGGCTCAAATTATTGGGTCCAGATACATGTTTAGAAACTACGCCGGCGACCCTCTTAGTATGATGTTTCGGTTCACTGCAACCTGTACCCCCGGACTGTACATCTGGGGGAGCCCCGCTCTCAGGGAGGCTGTGCTGAAGACAGTGTGGGGGAGAGTCTGTCCCCCACCGAGAAAAAAGGTAAGAATTAAAGCAAAAGAAGAAAAAAAATATAATCTAAACCGTATTAAAATAAAATTGTTTGATCGATCCCCAATTTGCGCTTATTCCTCTAAGAACGTTTTATGTTTAGATTGTGACATAAATAATCAAAGGTATTATATATACACAGATCTCCAGGCAAGACAACAGTTGAAAGAACTGTACAGGTGATTTGTTTTTCTTTTTAAATACTAAGATGTCCCAGTTCCAGTCTTTCAAAACTAAAGACACATAGCAGAAAAAAAAACAATTCGGTTGTTTATTTTTTGTTGAAATGGCTATTCTGAAACCAAACCCTGTCCTATACTCATAGTGAATGATGAAAAATTAATTGCTATAAGACAAATCTAAAATACACTTCTTTGGTTTTCCAGGCTCGTCTCAGACTCCGCAAGAAAGTCCAATCAATACGAAGGAATACCGTGTGTGACCAAGGTGAACTGAAAACAGCAGGCACCATGTTTTAAGACCTTCCTAGACACAGGAAAACTGAAAAAGGCTACTTCTCATTATTTCACCAGCTGTGTCTCTGCCTCATTTTAACACTACATTTGATTAAAATATTTGAGTACAAAACGGAAAAAAACATTTTTTTCCTTAATTCAAAAAAAGATAACGCAAACTTGAAAAACTTGCACACCACATTTTATTGTATGCATCTTCTGTTTACTTTCTTCCACTCATTTTTCAAACCTGAAGTCTTTTCTGTCCAGGATGTCTTTCATTTCTTCCTAATTTTGGAGAGTGCCTAGAGGGGTCCAGAATAATCAAGAGAAATAACGTTTTGTTTTGTTGCTGTCACGATCGACATCCCTCAGCACGCAAAATATATTCACTCAAAATATTCTAGACGGAGTATATTATTACCTACTTGTTACCTTCTAAGTTATGAAGTGGTGAAGCACATTATTCCATTTAGAATTAAGTGTTAATTTTTCTGTTGCCTTAACAAAGCAGTTTAGGCCTCTGTGTAAAAGCAGAGGAATGCAGCCAAAAGGTGCCCGTCTGAGAAGAAACAGAGACCAGTGTCCTTGTAAAGCTGTGCTCATTCTGAAACACCCAAATGATATATGTGCAGCCTGGCTACCCTCAGTCTGCCAGTTCGGCTTCTGCCGAAGACAACAGGTCAAAGCTCGCTCTCCATCACCCAAATGACGGTCAACCAATGAGGGAGCTGCTGCAACGGAAGCCAGTTCAGACTCCCGTGTAATGCGTATTTAGCGCC